GTTATATTATATGTGTCTCTGTGTGCCTGGGAGGCCAGAAGAGGGCATTAGATCCCTTGGAGTTGCAGATAGTTGCGAGCCACCATGTGGGTGCTGGGAACCGAACCTGGGTCTTCTGCAAGAGCAGCTAGTGATTTTAACTGCTAAGTCATCTCTCCAGGCCCTAATTTACTAATTTTTTGTTTTGTTTTTTGAGACAGGGTTTCTCTGTGTAGCTTTGGAGCCTGTCCTGGAACTAGCTCTGTAGACCAGGCTGGCCTTGAACTCACAGAGATCCACCTGCCTCTGCCTCCCAAGTGCTAGGATTAAAGGTGTGCACCACCATTGCCTGGCTAATTTATTAAATCTGATTGGTGGCCATACTGACACATCGAAGCGCTGGTGAATGTTCTCTAGTCTTACCTTCTCCCCCAACTCCCATAGTCATCTACAAATCTCCTGTGTGCCAAAGAAAGGTTCAGCTGTTACTACTCTATGTCACCTCAAGTGCACTCCTGAGACTTCTATTCAATCCTAAAGTCGCGTCCTCCTCATCCTTTCTCAAGCCTGTGTCCATACCTGCTTTCCTTAATACCCTTCTTTTCCTTACAATTTAGCTGTAAGTATCACTCCAAGCGAGTCAGGCCCTCCTGCCACTGTAAATCTTGTTGTTGCTGCGGCTGCTAAAATGCTAATTCTGACTCCTGTCTCCTGGCTGCCCAGTGCCTTCAAAGTTGATGCTCCACACTTCTTATTATAGCTATGGTGTTCTCCTCCATACCACCACTGAAGACTAATTCAGAACCCTTCCTCCCTAAGACTCCCACACTGTCCTATATATACACCACGGCTATACACCACAGCTCTTCACAGAGTAGCCTGTGTCACTCTGTGCTGTGACTCCCACTGGCAACAAGGACTGGTTGCTATTTGAACACCTCACACTACCCTGCACATAGTAACGTGGGCTCAAGGCAAACAAGATGCAGCTATTAGACTGCCGTGGTGCTGTCCATGGTCCTGAAATAGCACCCAGGGCCAAGTGCAGACTACAGACTACACTGAATCCAAACCCTTTAGCAATGAAGAAACCAGGTTATAGGATGTGTTGTGGTGAAGGGAGAGTATATCTGGAGAGAAAAGTGGGGCGAGTCAGCATGGGGGAGTCAGAGATGTGGATAGGGAAGGAGGGAGGGAGAGGAAAGACTCCCTAGAATAAGTATCGGGGTCCTATCTAAATAGCACAACCAGAAAATATGAGAGAAAGCCCCCATGGAGAGGAATGTGTCAACTTGAACAACATACTCACACACTCTGCAGTACAGCTGGGCAACAGGTGTGATGGCCGTGACATTCACAGCTATTCTCTGTGTTAATAATTTGTCTTCGTTTTTTTATCTTCTCTGTCTTAAAATATCATCAGTTCCTCACACCACCCATAACAAATAAGAATTTACCTCCTTATGCTTCATGAACGGGGCTGCTGATTTCCTGTGGTGGCATGTCCTGTTTCTCTTGCTACTTTTACCATACCAGTTTTAGATAATTCAATGAAAATTTAGTCACTCTCATCTCTGGGATGCTAAATTTCTCTTTTCTCAAAATTTCAACTTCTTTCAGCATCTTTATCCCCACTAACCCTTTGTTTTTAGATGAGGGCTTCCTTCATTTCTTCCTTTTGAGACAGGGTCTCACGTATCCTGGTTGATCTCAAACTTGCAATACAGTGGAGGATGACTTTGAGCATCTGTCCTACTGCCTCCACCTCCTGGATGCTAGGTTTACTAGAATATTTCCCATCAAGCTGGATAGCTTGATTAGATTCTCATTTTCCTAAGAAATTAAAATCAAGCTCCCTTTCCCAGCCTGCAGATATCTTCTGTGGGAACTTCCCACATCTCCTGTACCACAGGTTTGCCTGTTTGTGTTTACAAACTGTGATTTGGGGGTTTGGGATTGGTTTTGTCCTTTTGCAGTTTTGGTTTTCTTCAGTAGCATTTTTTTTCCAGATCACTTTGCTTTCAATAACAAAGGCACTTTTTAAAACAATAATTCATATGCACCTCTTTCTGGCATTTGTACAGAATGATTCGATATTAGTGAGAAGTGAATTGCTTCTGTCATTTCCAGTCTGTATGGGTGCTCACCTGAGAAAATAAAGTTTTCAAATACCAAAAAAGAAGAAAAGAAGCAGGGCATGGTAGCATGCTACTGTAATACTCCCAGCCCTTGGGATGTGGAGTTAAGAGAATAGAGTTCCAGGTGAGCCTTGGCTGCATAGCAAGTTCAAGGAAAGAAAAACCATCCTCACGTCTGTAAAAGGCAAAGGAAAGGAGGCTGAAGTCAGTTCACTTCGCTGCCTTCTTTCCCCTACACACCCATTAAAACCACTTTTGCCAGCCAGGTGGTGGTGGCACACACCTTTGGTCCCAGCACTTGAAGACAGAGGCAGGTGGATTTCTGAGTTTTAGACCAGCCTGCTCTACAGAGTGAGTTCCAGGACAGCCAGGGCTACACAGAGAATCCCTGTCTTGAAAAGCAAAACAAACAAAAGTCGTTTTTGCCTCGGCTATGGATACCATCTCCTCTCATCGGTTCAAGGCTTTAGCTCCAGCACCTATATACTTGATCTCTACACTCTGGGTCACTTCCTAGTCTCACAAATGTTCTAGCATTTCCTATCCTTTAGAACCCCCCCCATAACCTTGCATCTGCCTTGTATCAGTCAGCTTGCCATTACTGTAATACACATGTCGGGGGAGCTGATTTATGAAGTGGAAGTGGTTGTCCTGATTTACTATTTCAGAGGGTCCAGTCCATGATCAGATGATGGCTTTGGAGGGGAAGCAAGATGGCAAAAGTACCTCACCTTCTGTCCAAGAAAAAGGGGAGAAAGAGGAAGGGGCCAGAATCCCACAGTCCCCTACAAGGCCATGCCTCTAGTGACAAAAAGACTCTCACTTGGCCCCACCCCCTAAAGGGTCTACTATCTTCCAACAGCACCTAACATTTGGACCTTTGAGGACACTTAACCCAAAACTTTGACCACCCCATTGTTTTGTTCTAAGTTACAGCAAAGCTTGAAAGAGCTGTGCAATCCTCTCTCACTTCATCCGACCCTTCCTTTCAGACTTAGGCCCAATCCCCAGTCAAATAAGGTCCCTATAGATGGCCACCACATCACAAGCTCAATGACCTGTTCTTATGCTTCTTCCTTTACCTGCCCCTCCCCTCACTGACGCGGATGTCCACTCCTGCCTCCTTACCCGTCCCTCTCTGATGCAGATGTTTGCTCCTGCCTCCTTGAACAGCTCCCCATCTCATTTGTTTATTCTTTTCCTGGTTTCCTTGTACCCCAATAGCTGTGCCTTCTTCATTTTCTCTACTGAATGCCCCTCTTCTCCCAACAGGAACAAGATTAATACACAGGTTCTCTGCCTGCTACTGCCTGTAGTCACAGCAGGTACTGAGGACCAATTTGCTCTGAGCTCTGAACTGTTAGCATTTGCTCCTGGTACCTGGTGACAGGTCTCTTCTCTTGGATGGATTATTCCAATTGACTCAAGGAGTAGGCCTTCAAGGGCAGTGCCTTTGGCTCTCAAATCGTCCCATATCTGCACCTTACTAGCCCAGGGGAAACTTCATAATTGGTATGTATTAGGCAAACAAAGCAGAAAGGTGGATGGGGGGCGTGTTCAGTATCCAGTGAGAGTGTCGAATAATGTCAAGTTCTTTGTATTTAAATTTTCTCAGACCCAAGAACAAAATGCTATTCAGCCCTGGTTCTTTTTATTTTCTAGGCTTTGTGGAATAAAACACAAGCCACCCAGTGGGGCAATTCTGTGCCTAGCTTTGGAGAGTGCTAAAGCCTGGCAATAAGAAGGTTTAATAATAGCCTGTGCTCTAGACCCAGGGGATCCCTGGCAGCCGCAATTACTGGAGCTCCTATTTTTCTTATGCCCTGTGTCATCTGCAGTTGCCCTTGAATGCAGGGACATTTTAAACTGGAGACTTTGGATTTCCTATCTCAAACTTGCCACAGAGCCCTCCCCTTTCTCCTGCTATGCATAAGGTATGCATACCGTGCATGCCGTATCTCATCTCCCACGGTTCTGGTGGCTTAATTATTGTTTTCTCCTCGTAATTGCTAGCAGTAATCTAGCTGTAATGTGCTTGCTAATGAGCACAGCTTTGAAACTCAAATGTGCAAAGATCCAGTAGCGGGGCTATTTCATCATTGCCTGTGAGTATGCCCATAGATACCGTCACTTGACATGCATAAAGGCCAAGACAGAGGTATGCGCATGGTGCACAGACATATATGCAGACAGTATATTCGCACACATAAGAATCAATAATGAAATCTTAGCACACAGTAGATGTTTCTACATTGGCAAATGGATGGATTTCCACACCAAATAGCTTACGAGATACTGATTTTTAGAAAATTCAAGGAACATTCATTTCAACATAATTAAGTATATTCATTTGCACAACATAATTAAGCACGCTCATTTGCACAACTAAGTGGCTCTCTGACAATCTAATCTAAGCACACAGAATAAATTTGCTGGTAGCATCCATGGTTACTACATGAGGCGAGACAGTGGCATTCCTTGACAGAGGGGTGTCACTTGTTGGAATTGTGACACTGCTGAGCAGGATATAGACAGCAGTAAGAACTATTGAGTGTCCCATATCCTGGAACCATTTGATAGCCCTAAGGATGGATCTTTCCAAAGGAGAGATTTTTCTTTTATGGTGCCATCTGGGAAGATTAGACATAACTAAAAAATGTTTTGAAGTGTGACTCACAGTGACTTCATCCGCACAGAATAAGGGCACAGGTCCCTCCTCCCAGGGGACACACTCCCTGACATTATTTGCCATGGCTGATTCACCACTGTACAGCAAAGAGAAAAGATAGGTGGCAAAGGGCCCTATTTGGCCTTTTTCCCTCTTTTTAGTTTTGAAGTGTGCATGAGCCACGTGAGTGCAGTGTTCTGAGGTCACCAGGCAGAGCCAGCCACAATGGAGGGAGATTTGCCTTTTGCAGAGGCAAAGCTGAGCTCAGCAGGCCACAATAACTGGAGGCTCTTCCCCCACTCAGCTCACCCTGGCAGGGACAGCCCATAGACAGGGTCTTCTGCTGATCTCTAACTTCACAGGAAGCCCATTCTCTGCTTCCCCAGGTTCTGGGCTGCTTCCCTGGAGAAACTGCCTTTTCCTCTGACTCTTCACAGCACAGCTGCCTAGCCTCAGTTACAAAAAGCAAGGGATGGCACATTTGCCTGGGCTTGTCATCGTGGGATTCTGGCAGCTTGCATTTCGTTGATCCTCTGTTGTCATGGAGCTGTGGAAACTGGAGCTTCCCCCGGGGATGCTGAGGTTGAAACTACCCCAAAAACGGGCACTGTTCAGAAGAAAAATCTTCCTGTGGCTCCTCTGAATGTTACAATGCAGACTCAACAGCTGAGGCGTGGCTCAATGATGAGTGATAGAGTGTGTGCCAGCATCAGTCCCTAAGAAAGAAAAATCAGCTCACACACCATAACAACACACTCCCAGGAGGGCTTCAGATATGTCAAGACCTCACCAGTGTGGTACCAGCCAGAGCAGGCCCATCTAATGCTGTCAACAACTACCGTGGCTCTCCCCAAGATCATGGCCCTCAAACACACTCTGGTGCATTTAATCTGATTTTAAGAAAGTTTTTAAAATACCATCTTGATTCCCTGAAGGGATGTGGGGCCCTGGTGTTGAAGAGGCCCCAAATTCCTAACCATTTCTCAAATAAAAGGTAAGTACAAATTCCAAGTTCCTACACAGAGCTATCCTGCTTGTACAACCGAAATAATTAAAAACTAATATTCTTAGGAGGAAGCAGGGGACTCTGTCTTGGGACAAAAGGGGATAATTTGTCACTCTTTGGAGACTATGTTCTGTCTGGCAAACACCAAAAGTATGTTGGGGATGAGGTGTAGCTGAGCTAGCTGATAGAGTCCCTATTAATAGATGTGAGGCCCCAGATTTGATTCCCCAACACTCATAACCAGGTGAGGTAGTGCACACCTGCAATCCATCACTGGGACCAGAGATTCAGGATAATCCTTCCCTGCCTCACACTGAGTTCAAGACCAGCCTGGGCTGCACAAGACCCTATCACAAAAGAAAAATAGTGACAATAACTCTCCTAGCTTGCTTCCCATTGCTATGATAAACACCATGACCAAAGCAATGTGGATGGGAAAGGATTTGTTTGGCTTATATGTCCCAGGTCACAGTCCCTCACTGAAGAAAATTGAGGCAGGAACTTGAAGTATGAAAGGCCACAGAGGAGCACTGATCACTGGCTTGGTCCCCATGGCTTGCTCAGCATGCTTTCTTTTCTTTATGTTTTTGCTTTTCTTCTTCTTGTTTTGTTGGGTTTTTGTTTGTTTGTTTTTGTTGTTGTTTGGGGGCTTTTTTCATGACAGGGTTTCTCTGTGTAAGAGTCCTGACTGTCCTAGAACTCTCTTTGTAGACCAAACTGGCCTCAAACTCACAGAGATCTACCTGTCTCTGTCTCCCAACCACCAGCCCAGGGACAGCACCTGGGCTGGGCTCTCCCACACAAATCATCAGTCAAGAAAATATTCTACAGTCTTGCTACAGGCCAATCTGATGGAGACATTTTCTCAATTGTCCCCACCTTTCCAGACAGAAAATTTGTATTAAGTTGACAAAACCCAACAAGTCAAATAGGACCAGTTTGCTCAAAGGCAAGGAAGAGATGAGCCCTCTGGTTGAAAAAAAGCCAAAGGAGTCTGCAGAGGGTTGGTGAGTCTCAAGAACAGGGAGGGCTAGCCTTGGCACAGATGATGCCCTGACAGCTGAGATGCAGTAAAGCAAACTGACTCTTCAAGTCCAGCTTTGCTCTTCTCAGCCACAGAGCTGTGAGACAAAACAGAAGCTGTGGGCTGGCCCTGCCATTCCTTGTCTTGTTGCACTAGCAATAGGACTGTCTGTGGGTCTTAGTGACATGAGGGTAATGCCCCCATCTCAAGGGAGTATATGATTTCCTGTGGTTGGGATGGTGGCCAGGGAAAGGAAAGCCTGGGGAGCTTCAGGCATGGGAAGTGGATCTGAAACTCAAAGAACGTAGTCTAGTCCTTGTCCCGCGCCCGCTCCGTATTCCTCGCCAGCAAGAAATACACGCAGGACACTCGGATCCTTCTGCAGACAAGCTTTAATGCATTTTACCAGAGTGGAGACTGAACAGAGACTGAGCAGAGACATTGAACCAAGAAAACCATCCCTATATAAAAGGCTGACCAGCCGCCTGGGACGTATTACCCTATGAATGGCTTTAGCTCCTCAGGCTAAAATGAGCCACGGGATAGGCAGAGATCAAAGGAATGGAGATAACCCAGCGCCTGTGAAGTAATTCACATCTTGGTGTCTTCAGGCAGCATTATAATGTAGGAACTGGCTTCCTACATATCACCCTTTTTTTATTAATTAATGAAAAGGCTTTATATTATTACAAGCAAATAGGTCACCCATATGTTGAGGGATAGAGGCAGGGGTTGACCTTCCCAAAATCAAACATTAAGACTGTGTACGAGAGTCACCATCAGGCTGTCAGCTTGACCCGAAGTACTCCCGACCTGTCCTTTGTCGTTTTTTTGGGAAAGGGGGACTGGGGCAGGTAACCCTTATGTAGGTCAACGTATCTCCCAGAGAAGCCTGTATAATAGGCAACTCTGTGCGATGTCTATGCTCAGCATCCCTCTTTGGGGCTGTACAAACCAGACATTCTACCCTGTGTAGTGAGCCTAGGCTCCGGGTGTGCAAGAGCTGTCTGGCCGGCGGCCTATTGCTAGTAGCCAAAAATATAAGCGCTTGG